TTTAAGGTGCCACAGGACTCCTTGCAGCAAGAGACCAATATATCTGTCCCTCTGGAACTTATCACTGCAGTAGCAGGGACATCTCAACTTTGTATGCTAGCCTGGCAGACATTTTGACCAAAAAGCAGGCTAAAATGCTTTTAGGACACAATCCTATACATACTTAGACAAATATTTCTATAATTCCCACCTTGCCCGAGCAAGCCATGTTGGCTTGAGCCAGCTGGGAGTTGTAGGCCATTTTTTTCTGTCTAAATATGTGTGGGATTGCAATGCATGCTAAATGAATAAAGCCATCAAGACACCTTTTCATCACATCTTAATACATTATACATCTGATAGCCATAAAACCTCAGTCTGAAACATTAAGCCATCCCAGTGGCAGCAATTAAAAAAATGTAGAGTGCCAGACGTACAAAAGTTGTTTGAAATGAAAGGTTTTTCAGGACCAGGTTTTAATACTAATGGAGTACGGGCAAGAAATATGTCCTTTGGTAGCACATTCCTCAAGCATGGGACCACTTCCCTTAATGTCCACCTGTGTGATAGATAGCAGGCGTAAGAACATGGCCCAATAGGCCCGCTCTCAAGGCCTGGACTGGTTCATAAAGCAGTATAAAGAGTCATTCAGATAACCTGGTCCTACTGTTTAGGGCTTTAAAGGACATTATTTGGTGGTGTTATAAGCAGTCAAGTTGTCTCTGATTTATGACAACCCTATGAATGAAAGCCAAAATGTCCCATCCATGACATCCCTGCTCACCTATTCCACATTCAAGGCTGTGGCTTCCTTTATGGAGTCAATCCATTTCTTATTTGGTCTTCCTTTTCTTCTTCTGCCTTCAGCTTTCTCTAGCATGATTGCCTGATGTGTCCAAAGTATGACGACCTCTTGTCATTTTTCCTTCCAAGGAAAGTTCTGGCTTGATTTGATATAGGACCCACTTATTCATCTTTCTGTTGTTTCAGGGTATTCACAAAGCCATTCTCCAGCACCATGTTTTGAATGCATCTGTTTTCTTACAGTCATCTTTCTTCACTGTCCAGCTTTCACACCCATACATTGTGATAGGGAATACAGTGGTGTGAATGACACCAACACTTTAAATTGTTCCTGGAAACAAATACATAACTTTCTTCTCTGACTATGTGACACTTGCAAGCATCCAAGAAGTTGCATTCTGTATCAGCTGAAGTTTCTGAACCATTTTTAAAGGCAGCCCTACACAGAGCAAATTGCAATAGTCGAGTCTGGAAGTAACCAAGGCATGTGTATGGAATGCGCTCCCTAGAGAGGTCCGCCTGGCGCCGTTGTTATTTGCTTTTCGGCGCCAGGCGAAGACCTTTTTATTTAAGCGGTATTTTAACTGTTAATATTATTTGATCTTATCTGGCCAGGGCGGCTTATTTTATATTGTATTTTTTGGATTTTTAATGTTTATATGTGTTGTGATTTATTTTATAATTGCTTTTATTTATTGTTTGTAAGCTGCCCCGAGGCTTCGGCAAATGGGGCGGCATAAAAATGTTTAAATGAATGAATGAATGAATGAATGAATGAATGAATGAATGAATGTGTAATTTAGGCAAGGGCCTCTTTCTCGAGATGGGATTTGAGTTTGCAAATCAGCCTAAGAGCTGCTAAAAGGCACTGCTAGCCACCAATAGCACTTGCACCTCCACAGAAACACTGGGGCTTTTTTCTGCTGCACTACTAAAGGCTTTTCTTTGTTGCTGTAAACCAGGATTGGTAATCTGTGGCCTTACAGTGTTGGATTCCAGCTCCCATCTGCCTCAGTCAGCATGGCCAGTATTCACTAATTATAGGAGTAATATAATCCAACAACATCTGGAAGACCTCAAAGGCTAGGAAGCTACTTTATTTCAATCCTATGCTCACATTCTCTCTGTGTTGCCATGGTTTGAATCCAAGGCCATTCAGATCCCTCCTTTCTGGTTCAGTGCAGTGTTTGGCCAATGAAAAGAAACAGATTGCAACTGGCTGTAATGGGAAGCTTCCTTCCTCTGTGCCTCCCCCGTGACTGGGGAATGCTCAGCCGTCTCAGCACTCTTGGACTACAACTCCCACCATACTCACCCATTGGCCGTGCTGGCTGGATTGATAGGAGTTGGAGTCTGACATCTAGAGGGCCACAGGTTCTCTACCCCAGACACACACATAGCATATTGTTCCTGTTATTGCAAGTCATCCTCACCTGGCTCTTTTATTTTCCCCATAGCCTTTCTGGCAGAGACATGATTGGCATTGCGTTTACTGGCTCAGGCAAGACCCTTGTGTTCACCCTCCCCGTGATCATGTTCTGTCTGGAGCAGGAGAAGAGGCTACCGTTTTCCAAGAGAGAAGGGCCATACGGGCTCATCATCTGCCCCTCAGTAAGCCCCCTGGCCTCTGGCCTGCATTTAACTGATCTTGCGCATGTGCTTGGATTTCGGGGGCTGGGGGGAGGTGCAGTGGGGGAAACAAAGTGCCCGAGGCCAGTGGAAGAAAGGTTGTCAGTGCTGGCTAACCGGGGGCCTTTATTTCTGCAGAGGGAATTGGCTCGCCAGACTCACGGCATTCTTGAGTATTACTGCCGCCTGCTGCATGAGGATGGGATGCCTGCCCTGCGCTGCGCCCTTTGCATTGGAGGCATGTCTGTCAAGGAGCAGATGGAGACCATCAAACAGTAAGGGCAGCACTGGGGGCAGATAACAGCCGGCTTGGAGCTGCTGCTTTTTTCTTCTATGCATGTCAAGAAGACAGGGCCTGTATTCACTCCCCTCTCCTCATATACCTTTGTTACAGTCCCCGTATAGCTGCCTTCCCCAGCCTGGAGCCCTCCAGATGTTTTAGATTTCAACTTTCTGACAGTTGGTCTTGCTGGCTGAGGCTGGTAGGAATTGAAGTCCAGAACACCTGGAGAGCACTGGTTTAGCATAACAGCATTTGCTTACTTCAGGACTTTGTAGTTCCACAGAAGATGATTCTTATTTTCAGGCACTGCAACTTCCAGCTTCCCCCTTTCAAAAGATCCTGTTCTGACAGTCCTACTCTTTGTGAATGCACACACTGCTTAGGTACTCTAAGCTACCATGTTGGTGTCCTCTCTGGTAAAGCAGTTGGTCTGAAAGGAAGGCCATATGCACAGGAGCAGTTGCTCCATCTGCTTATTCCTTGAGGCTGCTGACATTAATTTCATTCTTGCAAGAGGGAACAGATTTTCAAGGGGATGAGATGGTGGGATGTGGATACTTCAGCAGGGGCTAACTGCACCCCTGCTCTTTGACAACAAAAACATTATTCGAACAGAGCCAATGGCAAATCTGACTCCTTCTGTTCCTGCAGTGGTGTGCACATGATGGTGGCAACACCAGGCCGGTTGATGGATCTCCTGCAGAAAAAGATGGTGAGCTTGGATGTCTGCCGCTACCTGGCACTGGATGAAGCTGACAGGATGATCGACATGGGCTTTGAGGGAGACATTCGCACCATCTTTTCTTACTTCAAGGTATCAGGCAGGGCAAGCTGTGCTCTATTCCATTCTTCCGATGGGATCATGCCAGAGGCAGGCATGGCTTGGGTGTTTTTTTGGACTGGGCAGGCTGCATTCTTTTCATTTTTTGAACATTTTCCTTGCTTTGAGGTCTTTGTTTCTGGCATCCACAACTTTCTTCCTGTCGAGATGAAAATTTACAGGCTGGTGCTGGGGTCAGGTGAGGTGAGCTGAGGCTTGTTTTCACATCTAGGAATCTGTCCTGGAATGTGCAAAGGAGTTCTAAAGAGGAGAGCACCTTCACATCTTCTTTACCACTCAGTCACCAGAACTTGGCCTTATACCAGGAATTTGGAGAAATATGTCCAGGTTAGACAGTGAGATACCTAGGTAGATTCGAGGTCTGGCCTATGTTTTGTTATTAGAAATTGAGCTGAAGGTGTTTCTGCCCAAATAAATAACTTACTGAAGACACTTATTGATCCTGAGTGCATCTTTCTTCTCTTGTGTTCTGGATGAGGTTTGTGGTGTTGCAGCTGATTGGTTGGTTATATTTGGGATGTGCATTCACTGCTGTAAGGTGAAATGAGCATTCTGTCCAAAAAAAACCCAAATCCTGTGACTTCTAGCTTGTGCAAATGAAGCAAGATTTGCATATTTTCTTTCACATCTTTTACTCTGTTTCTGTTAGCACTAAGGAGGGGCAGAGAGCTATTCAAGGTACCCAAACCCCTCCCATTCTTCGCTTCCTGCCCTTCAATATTTGACATCCTGCCAAGCAATGCCTGCTATGTTTGAACCTATTTTCAGCAGCCCTGAAGCTAGGAATATCCTTTTTGGAATGAACCTGAGATTCTCCATATGCTAAATTCTCTCCTTAGTAAAAAAGTTGTTTTGTTTTCAGACTTTCAAACTGTTCATAGGATAGTGAACCTGTCTTTCACCTGCAGCCTCACTGAGCCACTTCTCAGCAATTGCAGGGACTGTTTGGTGGCAGGATCCTGCCAGTGTGGCCTCTTCGAACTGGCTGTTCCTAGTCACCCACTAGTACGGGTCTTTTTCACCCTTAGGGCCAGAGGCAGACCCTTCTCTTCAGTGCCACCATGCCCAAGAAGATCCAGAACTTTGCCAAGAGTGCTCTGGTGAAGCCCATCACCATCAACGTGGGACGCGCAGGAGCGGCCAGCTTGGATGTCATACAAGTGCGTCACTGGCTCACAGAGCCCTGCCTCAGCCTGGTTATAGATCTGGTTGCCTTACATTTATCAAGTTAGGGCAACACAGTTTTACCTGTAGCTGTTCAGAGGGTTGTCTTTAATACTCTCAACTAATAACAACCCTACTCTTAGGTTCGCTAATAACTTGACCAAATCCATGCACTGAGCTTAGCGCTTGCTTAAGGTAGGACTGGGGAACATAGGGTCCTCCAGATGATGTTGGACAATAGCTCTTGTCGTCCCCGATCATTAGCCATGCTGGCTGGAGATGATGGGAGTTAGGATAGACTGGCTTAGAATGTGACCCTACAGTTCACTCTTCCAAGCCCAATGCTTGGTCTTCTGAGTCCTGATCAGGTAACTTGAGCTGCCTGCTGCTTGTCTTCATCACACGGAAAGTATGGCCTTCCTTTGACTCTGCCATCTCTCTCTGCTTGTATCTAGGAAGTGGAGTATGTCAAGGAGGAGGCCAAGATGGTGTATTTGCTCGAGTGTCTGCAGAAGACCCCACCACCTGTGAGTGCAAGCTCAGCCCGTGCTCAGCCCTTGAGTCTCACTGTTTTGGCTCTTGGTACTCCTCGTTTGAACGGAAACATAACCTGAGCTGGGGTGGTCTGACTTTCTTCTGAAGCAGGAGATTTTGGTGCAGCTATAGAGTGGCTGCTCGAGCATTTAGTGTGGACCCTGCTTAGGTTGTGGTATTGACACTTGTTCTACTGGGACACTGATTCTATACTGGTACTTTCACTTTTCTTGGCAGGTTCTTATTTTTGCTGAAAAGAAAGCAGATGTTGATGCAATCCATGAATACCTGTTACTTAAAGGGGTAGAAGCTGTAGCCATACATGGTGGAAAAGGTCAGCAGAATCTTGATTTGAATGCACTCTTTTTATTTGGGGGAACATGTCTAGGCCACAAACATGTAGCAGTCTGAATTGGGAATTGGGTCTGTAATGGATCCAGCAGCCTGCTGTGGACCTTGTCTTCCTCCTCCATGGAACTATTTACTTAAATGGAAAGATCATCAGGCTCAAACGAACCTTGAGAAGGCAGGTCATCTTATCAAAGGTTAGAAGAGAACCTCGTTAAAGAAAAGGCCCAAGTGTCTTAGCAGAGCTTAGGAATCCGCAGTGTTGCCTATGGCATGCTAGCCATACTCAGTGCAGATCAGTGAAATGGCTTTTGGAACTAAGAAGATGCCCAAAGCAGCACAGCTCTCAATGAGCATGCTCAGAATAAAAGTTAAACTGAATGTTTGCTAAAATGCTGTGGGCATTGCCTGTGAACCTCTTACCCAGTAGCAAAGTTGGACCCACATTCTTGATCTCGATGCATAGTTATTACTATTAAACAGAAATCAAACCTTCCCTCACTTTCAGTTTTCAGCTCTGCTAAAGAGAAGCCTCCCTGATGGAAACAGTGCCCCCCTTTCTTGCACAGCATCAGAGGTTACATTTCTTGCTTGCTTTATTTATGTATGAGATTTCTATCCCACCCATTAGCCAAAATGGCTCTCTCCTGTCCAGTAGAAATTTCAGCATCAGAAACGAGATGTGCTTGAGAAGCCTGTGGAGTGGTTCATTCTGACACTTCATATATGTGTCTGTTTGGACAATGGGCCTGTTGTCTTGGGGTTGTGACTAATTCTTAGTAGAGAATGGAAATTGCTGTAGTCTTTGGATCATGGTCAAGGGAAAATTCCACCGCCCCTGCTAATGCTTTGTTTCTTCTTGCAGACCAAGAGGAGCGGACTAAGGCCATTGAGGCCTTCCGGGATGGCAAGAAGGATGTTCTTGTTGCTACTGATGTTGCTTCCAAAGGCTTGGACTTCCCAGCCATCCAGCATGTCATCAACTACGACATGCCTGAAGAGATCGAAAACTATGGTATGGAAGAGAGACTCTTGTCCTGAAGGGATTTGGCTATTAGAAGGATTCTCACATGTGCAGAGAGCATCTCCTGGGAGAGAGCAACTCTAAGCCATACTCAGAAACCTTTGAGTGCAAAAAGCTTACCCTAATAAGACTTGGCTGGCTGTTCTGCAGCACAAGACTATGCTTTATATGCGTCCGGAAATGAAATGGGCTAATTTAGGATGATTGCCCCTCAGATAATAGAACAGGGAGCAGTTATTGGCTTGCTATGTTGATGTGCTTTTTGACAAGTGTTGCTTTTTTCCCTTTTTGCTTTCCAGTTCATCGGATTGGGCGTACAGGTCGCTCAGGGAACACTGGGATTGCCACCACCTTCATCAACAAAGCCTGTGGTGAGGAACCAAGAGGGCCTGCTGTGCAGGTTGGGTGAACTGCGCAGAGGTGAAAAGGATGTGCAACTAGTGACTGGCGCCAGGGCTGAGCTCTAGTACCAACGGGGTGGAGTGGGGCAGCTGCTGACAAATCTGCCACAGATTCTTATGAGTCACTGCTGAAAATAGAACCCTCTGGGGAGCCGGGGTATGGCTTGTGGGTGGCATGGGTCCGTTGTGAGTGCCTCCCTAATGGAAACTGCCTGTGCAACAAGTGAATAGCTGTCACGGCTTGCTTCCTCTAACTGAAGCCCATCGCGTCTTGTCTGAGGAGCTGGCCTGTGCCTTTTTTAACTGGCTTCTTGGTTCGCAGATGAGTCGGTGCTCATGGACCTGAAGGCACTGCTGCTGGAGGCAAAGCAGAAGGTGCCACCTGTGCTGCAGGTGCTGCATTGCGGCGATGAATCCATGTTGACTATTGGGGGTAAGTGGCTGGGTCAGGAGCTGTGGGCTGAGAGGTCACCGTCTTGTCTGAGGCTGTTGAGAAGGCTGGGATGGTTTCACTGGTTAAAGCAGCTCAGCCTCCACTGGGGGTGGATTGGGCAAAGGCCTCCAGGAAAACGTTCTGGTCATAAGTCATCAAAAGTCATGGAAGACCATATCTAGTTCATAACCTCAAGAAAGAGAAGGTCAAAGGACCACCAATTGTAAACCCAAACCAAGCCTGGGTGTATTTAATTTCTCTTACACACGATTAAAGTTTTAAAGCTCAATTCTATGTATAGGCATGTTGAATACTTAGTGCCCCTTTGACCAGAGGTGTTGAGTCCCTTTCACCCCAGTGGTTGCACTCAGCTTCCGAGTGTCTTTCAAGGTACATTCTAGTCATCATCACTGACAGAGCAAAGGGGCCTGAGTGACAAATGCAGCACACTATAGAACGCTGCTCTTAGTTGCAGCACTTAAGCTTAGGAGAGGCATTTGAACCTTCTGGAATTGGGAGGAAATACACCAAAGCTGGGAAACCACTGGAGGATTCATAGCTGGGGGAAAAGGGCCTGAGGCCATTGAGGGAAATGGGTAGAGCATAGGGAAGGAGCATGGCTGTCTGAGAAATCCAGTTATGGATCCCACGTGGGCCAAAGTTTCAGTACCCTTGCCTAGACCATGCCTGAGTGCTGCAGAGAATTTTCTCTGCTTCCATTGCCTCCTTCTTTTCTCCACATTGTGCACACATTGGAAGATCTGCCCTCTGAGTGACGCACATACTTCTCTTTCAGAAGAGAGGGGCTGTGCCTTCTGTGGAGGCCTGGGCCATCGCATCACAGACTGCCCCAAGCTGGAGGCCATGCAGACCAAGCAAGTCAGCAACATTGGGCGCAAGGACTACCTGGCACACAGCTCTATGGACTTCTAGGTGTTCTCTGCCTTTGGGCTAGCCATAGTGAGGCACATGAACGGAACTTTCTGCTGTAGCTTACTGGAGAGATGCCTTTCAGCCGGAGTGAGAAATACGATACTAGTGGGCTTTTTCCTTTCCGGGAGCCTGCCATTGCTTCACCACTGCCGATGTGGCGCAGTTGTAGATCCTGTCCCAAAGGAAGAGTGTGACCATCATTTTGTTTTCCAAGCTCCCATAGACAGGAGGATACAGATCATAGGACGCCTTCTGCTATTTTCCGATGGTCATTTGGTTGGGCAGATATAGTAGACCGTATCCTCTGTTAACATCCACTGTTATCTTTAAGCCATTCAGCCCTTCTTCCTTGAAAATGACAGACCGATGCTGCAATAGTCCATTGCATCAGTGATTATTGTCATGCAACATTGGGCAAGCCCCGGGCTATTCAGCCAATGACCCTGAAGGGGAGGCAGGGACTGGTGACTGTTTGGTGGTTTGCTGCTACATGCTCTGGTTCCAGTCACCCTTTCTCAGGCATTACATGCCTCCATTCCCCATGTGGCTCCACTTGCCTGTTTCCAGCCATGCTGCCTTCCTCGAGCAACTCTGCTCTTGTGTGACTTCTGCAGCTGCAGAACACGAGTTCTGTTTACCCCACCAACGCACATTGAGTCAAAAGTCCCCCGGGACCGTCTGTGTCTCCTGGGACTCCTCTGCCTGCAGTAACTCCCTATGTGCATGCAGGCCCAAAAGAGGAAGTTGGCGGGCAGAGGAAGTCAGCAGCACTATCGTACATACTGACTCATTCCTGTGGCAGCCACAACAGCTTACGGTCTCAGCAGCCTTCCTCACTCCTCCTGGTTTGCCTGTTTGGAGGAGACGCTATGGAGCACCCCGTGAAAGAGGGGATTCTCTACGTGCAGCATCCCAAATTTGGAAAGGTAAATGGGAGTATCTGATTTGGGGGTGGCAATGGGCTAGGTGGGTGGATTTGGTGGTTTTTGTAAGTCTTATCAAACTCGGGACCAGGATCCTGGCATGAGGGGTGCCTTCTGTAGGGCAGGGTGGAACCTGCAGTAGCTGCGATAACTTGATGTCTGCTTCCCACCTTTTTATTTGTTGTGTTACTGAATTGTGAGTTTACAGATGAAAGTGATGTCATCTTTGAATGTAAATAAATTCTGTAACAAATTAAAATGAATTACTGTATATATCAAGGGGCAAAGCTGAAGATTATTTCTGTCTGTCTGTGTTGTGTTCAGAATATGCTTTGCTGGACTGAGCTGGCCATTCTGTCTTGAAAGTGCAGGGTGGTTCTAGGGTCCTTCTGTCTGTGGAGACCCCAGAATCTAGTCTGTGTCCTTCTGTAGGAGGAGTGTGAGGACTAAGGGGCTTGTAGCCTGGTGCTGGCAGTAAGGGACTTGCTTAACAGAGATAATAATAATGTTGCTCTGCGCTGTCTCTTGGGGCTGAGGACTGATTTGGATCTCTCACTTTCTACCCCAGCCTTTCTTCCCCTGCTCTCTCTTATCAACTGTATTGCTGCATATGCCAGCTGATGCAAATGAAGTCGCAGGCTCCCCAGGGGTGGGAATTGGCTGCAGCGCCAGAGCTCAGGCCAGTGCCTGCTCATGTGGGACGGATGTGGCGTGATCACGGCAATGAACTGGTTCAGCGGTGTTCTCATTTTCAGTCACCTGCCCGAAGATGTATGGCCGGCAAATGTCAAGTGATGCCACGCCCACTAGAAAGGCATGGATAGTTTAGCACTTATAGGAAGTTTTCAGATACTTGCATTCTTTTAATTGGTGTGGCAGCAACCTGGTAGAGTAAGCCAGCATAACACACAAGACCACCTAGGAAGGGCAGTCAAAACGGGGACTTTCTTAGTCCCTGCCACACCAGTGGATTCCAAAACACCTTGCCCACCCTTGATTGCAGATGGGTATTTGGCAAATGGTGACTGAGATTGAAAGTGTTCATAGCGGATGTATCAAGTGAGCCAACTTTATTGCTGAGCTGCTGTCCTTTTTAATGGACCACTCAGCAAACCAGATGTTACAAAAGAGGCTATAGCCCGCAGTTAACCCATGGATGTTGGGAAGGGATCCTCTTCCCTTTTGTTTTGAAATAAATGCTGCTGGCGGAAAGAGCAGACAAGCAGCCCACTAGGTGCATTCTGTATTTGGTGCCCTTTGGGAGATGGCAACAGCATCTGTTCTTACTCTCTCTGGGTCTTGCATTTCCCTATATTGGTAGTGCTGGTGGTGGGGAATCCCTCATGCTGACTTCTCCCTTCCCCATCCAAATTCTGCTTTGTGGTAGCCAATGGTCTGTTCATTTTGGCTGCACTTAGTAGCCAACTCAACGGTTATTATTGTAACAGCCAGAGAAGCATTCTCATTTCCTGCTTTACAGGGATAACCTCTATCCTTTTAAAACCAACTGACTGGGGACAGATTTTTACAGGAGGAGACCCTGTACATTCATGAATGACAGCCTTCCCTGATCTGCTGTCACTAAGTGTTTCAGTCTACAGTTCCCAGCATTCCTGACCACTGGCCACACTGACCAGCGCGGATAGGAGTTGGCTGAAAACAGCTGGAGTGCACCAGTTGGGGAAGGCTGCCTTATAAGAACCCCTCTGAGTGACTGTGACACAGAGACTGTGCCCCAGAGGCACCCTACCCCCTTCTGTCAGATATTTGACTGTTTAAAAATATTAACGTATAGTATACACCACAGGGATTTCTCCCACAGTTCACCAGAATTAAATTTCTTATCCCTCACTGGTAACCTGATGACCACCTTTATGGATCCCCAGGGGACATCCAACTTGTGAAAATTTGCTTATTGTACTTCACTTATCTTGCTGCTTAGCTCCAGTTGTGAAATAAATGGGAATGCCTTGAAAAGGAATCCAAAGAGGAACGGGAACAGGCTGTTCTTAGGTGAGCTAGGAGAACTGAAGGCCCGCAAATACTAGTCATGGTAGCCTGTAGCTGTTTCATGCAGCTAGCTTTGCATTTGTCTTTTTTGTTTGCCGAGGACAACTTCAGACCTAACCACACATTTCCAGGCTTTTCTATACTACAACCACACAGCTTGCAAACCATTTGTTTAAAAAAGATCATGTATAAACATGAGGAGGCAAAAAATGCTGAATTCTGTGCCAGATACCAATTTTTGTATATAAGTGGCAATCCCATAGATGCCATGAAAACCAGTGTAGTGTTAGTGGTTAGCAGGCTGGAATAAACTAAGGAGATGCAGGATCTAGTCTCCACTCAACCATAAAACTAACTGGTGACTCTGGCTCAGTTGCTGACTGTGCCTAACTTCAATGTGAAGATTGATTGGAGAAGAAAAGACCACGTAACCCACCTAGGCTTCTTGCAAGCAGAAATAATTATAGTGATAATGACCAACATTCAGTGTATGCACAATCATGGCTTGGGCTTACATGGAGTAAATGTCCCGGAAGGGCTGTGGAACAATCCCAACTTCTTGTCTTGGATTCCATGAAGCAACCCTTAGCAAGTAATCTGTGGGCAGTTCAGCCACACAGCCATCATATTGCAGTCTGGGTCACTAGCTTATTTTGGCATTTTGAAAGTTTCCATCAAAATATTAAAGAAGCTACTTTCCTATTGCTGCTGCTTATGTGCACATTTTCCAGGGGTCATTTAGTTTCCCAGACTGTCTGTTCACTGCTGGGCATGTCCCTGATTGGATGCTGTCACTCTTTGCCTCTGCTCGCAGAAGACTTGGCGGAAAGTGTGGGCCCAGCTCTTTCCTGACAGCCCATCTGGTGTTGCACGGCTTGAGTACTTTGAAGGTGTCGCAATGGAGAAGGCCTCCCTGCGGAAGGGGGAGCGCAAGGTGATCCGCCTCTCAAGCTGCGTCTCTGTGAAACGGGTGGGGGAACACAGCTCCCCCAAGGACACAGCCCCCTTCTGCTTGTGCCTGATGGAGCGCAACTGCCTGCTGGCAGCAGATCACCCAGATGACTGGATAGAATATATCTGCCAACTGGCTTTTCAGGTATGAATCCACTCACCCCTGTATGCACTGAACCAGGGGGGTGTCTCCTCACACTTGCAAGCTAGCTGTGGGAGCCAAATCCAGATGCTGCTGCTTCCCCCAGTTGTCACTTGTAGATGCCCGATTTCTGCTCTGAGCAGGGATGACCATCATGGTCTCTCCTACTCTAAAATTACCCTATTTTTGCTACTTGTGCCACTGTGTGAAGAGGCCCTGGATTAGACTGTGATGACTGTTAATGTCCCCTGCCCTCTTACTGTGTGTGTGCACATGTATGCATGCATGTTCAGTAGCTGTATGTTCCTAGCTTGGTTTTGAACATAAATATGACTATGCTCTTGCGAAAATTTGAAAGAATAATTTCTTCTGGGAACCCAAATAATGAAGAAGCATTGGACATTCAGGGTAAGGCCTTATTATATAACCTGTTCCTAAGCCATATTATTCAAAAGTTAGACCCAGTGATTTTAAGGTAATGCACAACAGAATTCAAGTTTAATGTTCAAAGAGTTTTACAAGCTCTTTCTCTTTTAATTAACTCTGGCTGTTCATTTAACCCATATAAAATGGAGATAACAACTGTAAATGGAGATAATAACAACTTTGCAAGATTGTGACATGACAAACAAGATAATGAAAACTGTGTTCATTGCATGTTTGTGGTGTTCAGACACACTATCAATGATCATATACTTGCTGAGGATAAAACTGAGGATACTTGCTGAGGATAAAAGAGAAAGCAACTCATGTGAGGAAGTATTGTAACATCTACAATTTCCTTAAAAGTTAGTTAACTAGACCCTGATCCTGCAGGGCTTGTCTAAAAACATAAGAGAGAAAGAAGCATGTATGTGTTGGAGTCAGAAGTGAGAAATGCCGGTTTAACTTTGGTTTGAAATAAATTTGGTTTGAAGTATGCTACCATCATGTAAGAATGGGGGTAGACTCTTAGGTATACTGTTACACTGCTAGAAATTGCCCAGTGCTCAGGTTATACTTTGAGCAAGGAGGAATACAAATGTTTCAATTTGTTATGATTTGTTATGATGTCTTCTTCCTGGTTTCACCTTCTCCTTGTTCTGGTGTGCACAGAGGACACCTGCCCCAGCCAGCACAACCACAAACACTCGCAACCCGCAGCCCCTCATGGAGGAGAATGCCATCTACTCGTCTTGGCAGGAAAGTACGTATGCTTCCTTTAACGGCCCAAGGACTGGGGTGGAGACCTGCAGCGAGGCAGGGCATCGTGGGTGTGACACTAGTTTTGCTTGCACCATCTTTAGGTGCAACGAACAGCGGATGGAGGAAAGGCCCTCCTTGGAAGGCTGGGCTTAAGAGGAGGTATGAGGAGCTATGCTGTAGAGAGAGATGCTACACAGCTGGCATGGGGGCAACCCTCTAGATGTCGCTGGGTGCTGGCTGGGGTGGCCGCTCCCTCTCTCATACTCAATAAGCCACCCAATAAATGTCCGGAGTATAGGCACACTCTAGGAAGGAGACTCCTATGGCAGAAACCATAGAGTTTGTTCTTAGAGCATTCCTTCCCCTTTTCCTGTGGGGTAGTGTTGAAGGCCTCAGGAGGCCCCTAGAAGGGGTCTGGTGAGCTGCTTGTGGCCCACACGCTGCATTTTTGGACCTCTGCTTTACAGTTACCCCAAAACCAGCTACCTGAGATAAAGCTGTTCAAGCCACTTCGCTCCCTGAAGCAAGGGACAGGATAGCGACACCCCTGCCTTGTCTTTCCACATGTGGAAGCTAACAGATCTGGCCACTGAATCTTATTTCCACATCAGCAGTACGACTGCATCTTCCACTGCACCTGACAGCAGCAGAGTAGTTCAGGGAGCATGAGCCCCAGGCATGACGGTGTGCTCTGAATATCCTCCTGGCCAGTTTCTGCTGCCTGAGGTGAGTGCCTCAGCCCCGGTGTGAAGTAGAATTCCCAAGCCCCTCCTCAAGAGAGACCCTGCAGCTGATCTAAAAGATTTGGAAATACCATAAGTAATATTCGCATAACTGGACTTGCCCTCCTCACTTGAACTGACAGCTTTAATCCACTCCTTGAGAGAGTTATGCAGACCATGCAACAGTTTGATTTCAGCAAGAGAAGCAGAAGCACACTGAAACTGGGGCAACTGGAGGCAAAACACTATGACAAGCAGTACACAGATGTTCTGTTTAAAGAAAAAAACAGGAAGAGGAATGAACCGATCATTTTATGAAGAATGATGTGTCTTCCTACAAGATAGGAATCACTGTTGGAAGGATGTGAACTCATAGGCACAAGAGGGTGCTTTGTGAGACTCTTATGGAAAGGGGGAATAAAGTGATGGAAAGCAAGAGTTCGAAATAAGCTCCTGAGCACTGTGCATTTCACATGTGGCCATAGGAGATGAGCAAGGGGGTATATGGGTAAGATCTGTGAAAGAGTCACATAGGCAGAATAATAGTCAGGGCTCCAGGGTATTGAAGAAGTACTACAAAAAAGAGGGGATGCCCTACAGAGCAGCTGGAACTTGAAGATTCTGCCTAGCAGTTTTCCCTTTGCTATGACAGCAAGATACATATCACAAAACAAGTGAATTCATTCCAGTTTATTTGCACCAGTACCAATCTGTGTGTGTGGGGGGGGGGGTTGGTGCAGAATTTTGGATTTGCTTGTGCAGAGTTTTGAAATGAGTGCATGTGTGTGTTTAAAGCCTAAAATCTACAGAGCTGTAGGGAGAAACCAAAAGGACATCTTTGCCTCTGGAATGGTTTGGTGACTTCTTGCAATATCCTTTTCTTCACAGTGTGTGAGTTCCCGGTGTCAATATTCCCCACAGAGGCATCTGCCAGATGCAACCTGAAAGGGAACTACTTAATGGCACCTTTGCTTGAGCAGCTGGTGCTGAAGGACACACAGTCTGGGCACGTTCTCTATAGCTGGCCTTATGCCTTCCTCCGAAGATTTGGCCAGGAAAAGGTATGCAGCGGCTTCCTCTTCTGGTGGCTACAGGGCAGCCTGCTACACATGGTTGAGGCCAGAAGCAAGAGTGGAGGACATCCTGTCTTGCCTCGCTGGCTGAGTGCAGAGGGGTCCATCACTCCCAGCTGACAGGGTTAGCAAGCCCTGATCATACCTTGACCCTGCAGGCAATTTTCGGACTACTCAGACCTGCCACAGGGCAACAGAGATGCTTCAGATGTTGCTTCTTGTAATGTGAGGGGGAAGCCCAGGCAGCCACTAGGTAAGGTGGATGTTCTTTGCTGAACTCCTACACCATCCTTTTTTCGTTTGGCCAGGCTGAATTGTCTTATGGGTTGAAACACACACCCTCCCATTCCACTCTGCACCGTCACTATTGGAATGCAAAAATTAAGTTCCTCCACTCTTTGGATTTGATAATACTGGTCTTCAGTGAGCACCTGTTCCCTTTGCTTCCACTTCCTCTTGGGACTTTTACATTGGCTGATTGGAGCCAGGTAGCACTATTCCATACAAAAGGCCCAAGAGTTCACTGGAGGAATGATGGTTTGGCATGTTGCATGTCAAAGGTGCAGAGGCACTACACTTCAGAGGCAGAGTTCATCAGCTGAATGCATGTCCCTGATTGCTCTAGTTAAAATTGGAGTGACTACATTTGGAGGCTCCAGGGACCAATTTCAATACTCTTGGCACTGCACCCTTATGGGCACCACTAAATTTTGGCAGCAGCATCAAAGCACCAGCAGATTGCAGAGAGGAAACATAGAAGCTCTGCTCATGTAATCCCCAACATGTGGTTGTCCAATCTTTCCTTGAGCGCCCTCACTGATGGGGCCTCAGCTACCTCCCTTGGAAGCCCATTCCATATCCTAGGGGTCCTAAGCGTCAGGAAATACTTCCTGACATCCAACCTGAGGCCTGGTTCCTTGAACTTTGCCCCACTGGAACACATCCTGCCCTCCACTGCAGGGAGGAACAGGCCATGTCCCTTCTCCACATGACATCCCCTCACATTCTGCATCATGAGCATGGGAGGGCAGAGCATTTGTGTACAAGCGCATGCCTGTGCAGGAATGCCCCCTCCTCAGCCGGTATCAAATGCAGCCCTCGGGGCTGAGAAGGATATGTCCCTCTGCCTTAGAAGCTGTTGATGAAACCTGAGTGGAGATGGTAAGGAATAAGAATAGCAAAGCCTAAGAATCCTTACCCTAAGAGAAGACCTGTCTTTCTTCCTCCCCTCTCCAGACTGTGTTCTCTTTTGAGGCGGGACGTCGCTGTGATTCGGGAGAAGGCCTCTTTACTTTTAGCACGGCACGGGCCACAGAGATCTGTAAAGCTGTCTCGGCTGCCATAGAACACCAAAAAAACATTCTTCTGGAAAGAGACAAGAAAACTGGGATTTACTTAGCTGAAGACTGCATCCAAAAAGCAGGGCCCTGGCAGTGGCCCACCAGCATGGGGAGCCAGGAGGAAATGCAGCCGTTGTATGCCAGGCCCCCAAAAGAAGCTGTGGGGACAGGCTTCCCATTGCTGCATGCAAGTGACAGCGGCTTGACTTCCCCAGAGACAGGAGCTCCTGAAACCCCCATCATCTATGCTTCCATCGGCAAGAGCTTCCCACTGTTCCAGCCCTCTGGCAAGGTGGAGACAGTGCCCAAGGAGCAGGGTGAGCCACTTTCTGACCACCTGTATGAGAACCTGCGAGCTCTGGAGCAGCGCCCCCTTTGCCTGGGGTCTCTTGGCTTCAGTTACAGAGACTCCCCTGAAGGCAGCAGTAGTGAGCCTTCGCCCATCTATGATAACAGTCTGGTAGCCACAAAATGCTCAAGCAGTCACTCGAACCTCAACCACAGTGCAGGGCCTGACTCCTACCTGGAGAGCCAATGCCCTCCTCGCCCGCTGGATTGCCAGGAGGCGGCATGTGGTGGTGAGGGGAACGCCAAGCCCAAGGTAAGGGGGGCTGGTGCTTTCAAGCACAAGCTGGTCTCCATGCTGAGCCGGGAAGGAGGTGTTAAGGCAACCAGCAAGAACGCAGGTTCCATGGACAAGTCATAATGGGAGTTCTCCAGCAGCCCCAAGTCATGGAGTGCTTTCCCTCCATGTTCCTTCCTCTTTGCCTTCAGCCTATCCTCCTCCTCCTCTGTGTACTCAGCCATCTTGACAGGGAGGCTCTCTGTGGCTTGAAAATGCAGCCTGTCAGATAAGATGAATCTGATTGCTCTGGGGCAATGCCAACTAGATGCCATCTTGACCCACTCTACTCCATACAATCAGTCCTGGGTAATTAAAAGGTGGGAGCAGGGAATTGTTCTCTTAATCATATCAGTGGATATCGAGGAACCTGGAAAACCTGATGCTTATATTTTGGGATTTCTTTTTCCTTTGTGTCTCAATAAACACAAAGTTTCTTGGATGATTGTAGTCTTGGTTCATCTGGACTCTGCTCAACTTTATACTTGCTGCTGTCTCTCTCCAATCTTTTGGTTTACAGCAGGAGTGTTCTGCCTTTGACCCTTCAGCTGTTTTGGCCTATAACTCTCGATCCTTTTACCATTGGCTATGCTTATAGGGGTGGATGGGAGCTGTAGGCCAAAACAACAAGAGGGCCACAAAGTACACCCCCCCTGCTTTATAGAGAGCATCCCTACTGCTGTGCTGGAGTATTTGTCCCACAGCAACTCGCTTGGTACTTTGCACATGTAAATGAGGACTGTAGCTCTGTGGTGGGATACTGGGTGCCAATTCCACCTTCAGCATAAAGAAACTCCACTTGCAGACATGGGGGAAACTTCTGTACCAGAGTTTGGAGAGCCCCTGCCACTTAGTACTGGACTAAATAGACAAATGATCTGACCTGACCTAAGACAGCTTCATACATGTGTATCTAAGTGGGATCCTAGCTGGAGGTTTTCAGCCTTATATTGCAGGAAATACCAATATGGTGACATTCTACCAATTGCTTTGTCTTGACTCTGTTCTTCCACTAGAGGGCAGCCTACCCCTGCATTTAACAGCTCAATAGTTTGCTTCAGCAAAGACTCTCCCAGTAAGCCTGGGCTGGGGGAGGTGGTGGGCTAAGGGATCCACCCACAGGGGCTTTCATATTCCACTGACTGGCTAGTCAGGTATGCTGAATGCTTTTGTATGCAATATTGTGGTTTGGGCTGTATTGTGTGCTATTGCGAGGAGACGTTCTTTCTGCCGTCCAGAGGTGACCATTTCCTATTACATCTTATTGTGCAGAGTAAACCCCTCTCTTTTAAACAGTGCAATAATGAACAGTAGAATTCTGTATCCCAGACTCTTATCCTTCATCCCTTGTTCAATGGCTTGTATGGCATTTCTGCAGTCTTGGGACTGAGCATCAGACACAAAACAAAAGCAGGAGTGTTACTCAGTCTCTATTTTCATTGCAATAGAGATGCTATGATGTTAAGTGCTCCCCACATCCCTGAGAGGTAAGAAGATCCAGCCCTTTGATTCGCCTGGAAAGGGGAGATCACTGGAGACTGATGGTGTGTTGTAATGTTTGAAATACTTACAAATCTATACAAGTAAAGCAGAGGAAGAGGGAGGCATCCTTAGAAAAGATCAAATGCTTCACATCAGGCCTCCGGAGGGAAGCATGCTCAGAAGCCCTCATCATACAGCACAATATTCTCCCTGGGCAGGTTTGCATGATATGAGAGGCCTCTGGTAGCTTATAAGCCATGCAAAATGGCCCCTTTGTCTGGGCCCCTCAGTATGCCTGGCAGACAATTGGGATCAGTAAAATTCCTGATCCACCTTCTCCCCACAATTCCCTCCTCCGTTCAGTATCCCACCAATATCCCAGGGGATGCCACAGGAGCACTAAAGGGAGTAGAACAGGGATGACAACTGCCTAAAAGTATCCAAGTGGCACTTTCAGGCCGCTGTCAGAGGCTTCCTGGCACCAGTGGGGGATGGGCTACCATGTGTTGGGCTTCCATAAGAAGCAGCCATTACTCAGTTAAGCAGGACAGCTACTAAGGAAGGTGGAAAGAACAAGCCACCTTGTGCTGGGATTCAAGCCTAGCATGAGCTGCCTCATTTGCCTGTCCTCCTGTTGGGCATGAACCCCACTTAGCTGAGCTGTAAGAGGACAAAGCGGCAAAAGGAGCACTCCCCTTCTCCCCACCTTCTTCTGGCACAATTGCCCTGGAGAGTGATCAGACAGGTGTGGGGCAATTGTGGTATTTGGCTGGGCCTCCTCTGTGACAGGTCCAGCCAGATGTGGCTCATCCCGCTCCCTACCTACAGCAGTATCATGGGCAGGACGTACATTCAGCTGGGTCTTTCCTGAAGGAGACCCAGGCAAATGTGCCCTCTGCCCACAGTCTCCTAGCCTCAGTCAGCATGGTAGCTTCAGTGGCCACACCAAACAAGGGCAACAAACTGCATTGCAAGGAGGTCAAGTACAATGTGGCTTGTCTTCCTCCCACCATGGTGCACACCCCCCCCCGTGTGACTTTCCCACCCGGCACTCCTGCTGATGCTGGGAGAACGGGGTTGCTCACAAGACAGTCCTGCCCTCCTGCATCAGCAGGAGTGCAGGGCGGGGAAGCTGGTGGCAGCCACTTGGGCAGAGCAGCAAGGCTTTCTGTCACTCTGGCCAAGCAGCTCAGTAGTTTTTTGGACTGACTATGGCTTAGTGCATGGGTCCTCAAACTAAGGCCTGGGGGCTGGATCCGGCCTGCCATGCCCATTTGGACCCGTCGTGCGTGCTCCCGCCGCCGCCCACCTCGCCCCGTGCAGAGAAGCAGCCGTTTGCTCGCTCAGAGAAAATTATCTGCAAGCAAGCAAGCTGCTGCTTCATGCACCCGCCTCACGGCGCATTTCCGCCCCCACCCGCACCTCCTCTCCCCTCGCCAGACACACACGCACGCCCGTGCCTCGCCTGACCTTGCCTCGCCGCAGGCCCCCCCCCCCTCGGTGCGCTTGCTCGCCCGCACGTGCAGCCCCTGCCCCCACGCTGGCCCACGCACACCGCCAGCACCACCTTTCCGGCCCGCGCAGCGCCGGCAGCTTTCAACTGGCCCCCTGGTGGAAAAGTTTGAGGACCCCTGACTTAGTGTATCATCTGAGTTCACAGCAGCATACTAACCTGTGTGTAGAACAAGCCACCAGATGATTGGGGTGGTTTTGTGGGGTGGTTTCTTAGCCACTCCACAGGAAGCAGCTTGGGTTCAGGCTGTATGCTCAGCCACTGTGGCCTCAAAGTCACAGTGGCTGCAAAGTCACAGTGGTTTGTTATGCCACGTGAACCCGACTCTATCTCTGTGTGTTTTTTCATTGTTGTGATGGCTGACACTGAAGAGAGAACCCAGTCCCCACTTAGCTCTGTCGGGAAAACATTGATCATCCTTCCTGAGCTACTAAGGGCAGAGGTGCTGTTAGGGGCTGGCCAACTATGGCTGGAGATCCAAATATTTCATCCATCGCTCCAATCTCTTGGAAGGCCATCTGTGCTCCGTGGGCACTTGCTGATGAGCTCTGTTGCATTTGATCCTCCTGGATTAGCTGGCTTTTTGCTGCATGTGCTTCACCTGCTACTGCCCCCATCCCTTTGAATCTTTCTTCCTGAGATTATTTTTCTCTGAAATTAAATGCCTTCCTCTCCTCTGTCCCTACATCTCTTTTTATTAATTGGAGTATGCTTAAGAGACAGCATCCTTTAAAGGCACACACAGACTTTGGAGCATATGCAGATCTCATGTGCCTGTATTCATTTGTCCTGTGGGCTTGAGGCTTAGATCTTTTTGGTACCTAGCACTACCACTGATTAAGAGTGCAATTTGACGCATGTTTAGACAGAAAAAAGTCCCCATCATGGCTGGCTAAGGAATGCTAAGAGTTGTAGGACCTTTTTCTGTCTAAACATGCATAGGGTTATGCCTGAACAGCCGTCTGCCAAGTCCCCAGCTCTGTTCAACTATTGCCTTAGGGTAAAGCCATAGTAACAGTCCCAACCATAGTAATTAGATGTTGATTTCAGAAAATGTTTTAATTTTGCAAAAGTATGTAGAACTGATGGGGCTTTATTCTGTGCAGGTCCAGCTCATCCACTGAAAAGATAGAACAGTTATTTTAATGAGTTAAAGGTGCAACTCCATGGATATTTAGACAGAAAAAGGCCTACAACTTCCAGCATGCCCCAACTGGCTTTTTAGAGAGCTTTTCCAATGATATTCCTGAATCATTGTAAAAAAATGGTAAAGCAACTAATATCTAAATACAGAGGAATATAAAATAAATGAAAAGGTAACTAAATCATAAAAACAGAAAATGGCAGGGAGTTTAACACTGTTTCCAAAAAGCATGGGAAAATCTTGTGCTTGGTGCCAAAAAGATATGGTAGGCAGCATGGAGTTCCACATCCAGGGTGTCACCACCAAGCAGGTCTTCACTCTGATAGCCAATCTGCCTCTGGAGGCTCAGGGAAAGAAAGTGGTGATGGTGTTTAAATCAAAGGGAAGGTGCAGAACCATCATGGAGCCGTGCAAGACGGAAGTTCTGCATCCTTGTGGCCTGGATAGCTGAGTCTGTTTTTATGGGAGCAGCTGCCTGCAACTGTAGGATTTTTCTCTATAGAGTTGTGAACTGTACGTCACCATAGAGTCTCGTGAGAGTCATTTAAAGATAATCAAATATGATGCAGTGTAAATTTCCATGCACTGAGCTAGTGCATGCATTGGTGTCCTAATTTGGTAGGTAAATATATACATGGGAACACTGGAGGAAAAGTTGTCAACATGGGAGTGAAAACCCATCACATTTTTCTGTGCAGAACCCAAATATATAGTGAATGCTGCATGCACCCATGGGCCTAATTTATGCTGTGAACTGCTCTGATTTATTCAAAAGAGAAATGATACAGCATAAGATATAGCGCTGTGTTGTTCTGAAATATGCACCAAACTTTAAAATACAAGCCATCTGTCCACCCCACGATGGCGGCGGGGGGAGGGTCCCTTTGAGAATTAGTGAGCGCTGCTAACAGGCAGCACTGAACACATGGGGGTGGGTGGAAGGATTTCCTATTGGCGCCATCTGAGGATAATAACGGAGCCACTTCCTGCTTCACTTTACTAAGCGAATCCAGATGTGCGCTTTGAATAGCAGACGGAAGCTTGCTGTAAACAACTCCGGGCTCAGTCGAAAGGATGACGGGCCCTGCTCTGCCAAGGCAGTAGCCTAACCCTGCGATTCGAGGGAAAGAGTCCGTCGCAAAGCAACAGACCAGGCAAATCCAGGCTCCCCAAATGCATTCAGAGTAGCAGCAGAGTGCGAGGGACTCGGATATATTACTTTGGTATGATCTTCACGGAAGTGGGTGGGGTGCGAGAAGCCTGGATGCTTCAGTCTCTCTCTGGACTCGGATCCAACATTTGG